GGGGCCCCTGGAACCGGCCAGCTTCTCCTGCGTGGCGGACCCGCCCTCCGCAAGCACAGGCTGGGAGGCAGCGCCCGCTCCCCGAAGTCTGAGCCTCGCAGCCTCAGCTCACTGCTCCCTGTGAGCACCGGCGCCGACAGGACGTCTTCAGTGTACAACCGACTCTGCAGCAGTGGGGAGATGAAAGCAGGAAGTGATGCAGGCGTGGAAGGATTTCTTATCCGAGCCCCCTCAACCTCCGTGCTGCTTTCATCACAACACACTTAATGGTTCTCCCCCCCTCCCCCAGCCCTTCCAATAAAAAGCACCCCGAGACTTCAGCCCCGTTGGCAATGAAAATTAAATTGCTATTTGCCACCTGGTGTTGTCTTACTTAACATTTTTCCAAATTGCTCTTAAATCTCCCTTTGGAATTCTGATTGTAAGTACCAGAAAGAAGGAAAGGGAATAAGAAAGAAAAGCAGAAACGTGAGCTCATTTGCATCAATTCTGTTCCAGTTCCTTCTACCAGCCTCACCCGTGTCTCCCCTTTGCCTTCATCTTCTGTTCCTCTCATTCAACTTCTTGTGACATTCAGCCTTCCTTCCCCCTCCTTCATTCTCTAGAATTTTATTCTAAAAGGAACACATGTTTTCCCCAAGACAGGTCACACTCATGCTCACAGTGGGCTGGTCTGGATGTTTTTCATTGGATTTGATCCCAGAAGCTCTGAGATCCTGCCCATCACAACTGTCTCTACGTTTTCAGGGCTACTTCTCCTTTTCACTCATTTATCCAGCAAGCATTTGCAGAGCACCCCTCACTGCCCGGCACTGTGTTCCCTTCTGTCCCCACTGCTTCCTGACTTACTTCCTTCTCAGTTCAACTATCAGCTACGAGGCGTGAGTAAAGTCCTAAAGGTCAAGACCTCACTCACCTGAAAAAAATCCCTCTCTCTGCAACCGTCAGGAGCACCTCCTCTACGGCTTTTGGAAATACCATGAGGCGCCACCATCAGCACAAAGTTCTAGGAGACTCGTCAATTTAGAAATACTCAGTTTCTACTGAAATGAATTCTTTCTAAGGGGTAGGACTGATCCATCCTAAACCATCATTTAAAATGACGTTTCCACTCTCAGTGGGGTTTCCACTTGCTCTTAGGGCCTGTTGGAAGCTGCAGTTTCACTCATTACAGTAGCAACTTCCTGAACCTTAAACAAGAAATAAGGGGGAAAAATTGATTAAAAAAGAAAAAGAATTTGATAAATCAACAATTGTAGAATCAATGTTAGGCCCCTTAGGGGATTTCTAATCAGAGGGAAGAGATGGCAGGACCCACAGATGAAAACAAACCCTGATAAACAAACACGGACGGGCGGCCCCGCACTGAGAGTGGGCCCTGCACAGACAGTGAGCCCCACCACCGGCCCACACCCCAGAGGGAACTTCCAGACGGAGAACTGGACAGACGTGGGATGGGAGGGAACCTCTTTGACTTGTTTGAACTCATCCTGTTAACAAGATGCTTAAGACGTTTAGAATTCAGATTATTTCACTCGACTCAGAGGAAGAGCTCCCTCTGTGAGTGGGACTGGAGTGCAGAAAGGATGAAGTTCTCTCTGGAGAGCAAACCCGGGTCCTTCCAACCCAAGCCGCCTGGGCGAGAAGGGCTGAGAACCAGTGGCGGCCTGGGGGCATCGAGGCTTCTAGCAAGGAGTGGGGAGATGTCGAAGAGATAATTAGCATCAGTATTATAAACAGCAGTGAGTACAGGTTAGAACAGATGGGTTCAGACTATAAAAATAGTCTGGGACAGTCTGGAGGTGGAAGAAAGAGCTGAAGGCCTGTGAGCGACAAGGAGCCACAGTAAAGGCTTCACGAGGGCTTCCCCTCCCTAAGCTCATGCTGTAACCGGGCGGTTTGGGCACTAAAGACAAGGTGGCTGGTTTACTGTCATCTAAATGAGTAACTTCTCTGAAAAAGTATTTGTGAAAGTGCCGAGTGTTGTGACTCTGAAGCTCTCTGCACCTGGAAGCGAGTCCAACCCCGTGCGGAGCTACCAGCACGTCAGTCGCCCCTGCGGGTCCCGAGGGTGGCGGTTCACGCGATGTCCCGGAGGAACCTTGTGCTCTGCGACATCCTGTATCATGAAAATCTCACCTTCCATTAATGGCATTTGGTAAAACTTAGAAACAGGGATCAGCTCATACATGAAAGTCAAGTCCAAGTGTGTCAGTGATAACACAACAGGCAAAGCCCCACGCAGCCGAGTAAAACCTGGTGGAAGCACCTGCTTTC